TGGACAGCACTGTAAGAATTAGGTGTTCAGCAGATTGATGTTGTGAGGGAAAAAACTCTCTCTGTGTGTATTTGATTGGCATAACGGCGCCCTGAGGGGGGGAATTAAAACAGTTTATGTCCAGGATGATATTCTTCTCAGTCCTCCTTCTCACCCATGCAACATACAAAGTGTACAGTATGTCAGTAAAAGGCAAGAACTGTAATGTTAAAGTTTATTACCTTGGCTTAGCATTATGTTCACATGGGCTTCATGAATGGCTTATTTTAGGGAAGTTTATTGCACTGATTACAACTGTGGTTTAATGTGATGAACTAATGATATGTTTTGATTTTCTGATTTGTACTTGATCCACCCAAATCTCAAAATAATCCCTAAGAAATAAAAGAGTAGAATGAAAATAAAACAAGAATTGATCAAACAAGAATTCCTACACCAATTTTTAACAGGATATATGAATATAACATAGAAATCTGATAGAAACACTGTATATCCTTGCAGTATGTTTATGTAGGGATGGCACATTTTTCATGGTACTTTGATTTAACATTTGAGGGTCTGCTTATCCTCCCAGGCTTATCTGGGAGTATAGGTGATATATGGCTATTTTTTAAAAGCTGAGGGAAAAGCCTATCATATATATTCATGGATAAAACCATGGATAAGATCATCTGCAGGTAAGCCAAACCCAATTTTGGGGGTGTACTTTGGCACCTGAAATTATCAGTTTATCTGTGGTTATATACAGTGCACAGTAGTTTCAAAACTATACTGATATTATCTGAGGGATAAATGAAGTCTGTTCCTATTCGTCTGTTCACAAAGAAACCTTTATCCAAACCATCTGAGGACAAGAAGTAACAAATGGAAACTTTTCTAGAAAAGATCCAATCTAGAACTACGAATAAAATTTCTGACAGTGATAACAATTAATTAGTGGAACAGCTTGAGGGTGCTCCCCTACTGGTTTTTAAGAGATTGGACAGCCATTTGTCCAGAATGGTATAGGGCCGTGACGGCAAACATATGGCACGCATGCCACAGGTGGGCACGCAGAGCCACTTGTGCTGGCAAGCAAGCTGCAGGCAAACTTACCTCATTGCGCATGTGCGTGCCTCACAGGTTATTATTTGGCAGGTTTGAGGCCTTTTTTGGCCTCCCAAAGGCTTGAGGAAGGCTTCTGCAGGCTTTATAGGCCAAAATCTAGCTCTGTTTCATCACTTCCATTATTTTAGGAAAAGCAGGAAATGACAAAACGGGGCTAGATTTTGGCCTACAAAGCTTGCAGAAGCCTTCAAGTCTTTAGGAGGCTGAAAAAGGCCTCAAACCCACCGAAAATCAGCTGTGAGGTGCAGTGCAGGTAAGGGGGTGGTGGGGGGTGGGGATTGCACGCGCATGCGTAGGGGATGTGTGGGGGTGCGTGTTGCCTTCTGGGTGCTGACACGCGCTCAATTTTTGGCACAGGAGCTCAAAAAGGTTAGCCACCACTATAGGGTCTCCTGCTTAAGCAGGGGACTGGACCAGAAGACCTCCAAGAAACCTTCCAACTCTGCATTAAATATCCTTTTCAAACCATCACTAATCATATTGCACAATAGCACCCTTTCTTAAATGTTACTCTCCAGATATGCTGGGATGGTCTAAGCCAGGGGGGTCAAACTGGATTTCTTTGAGGGCCGGATCAGCATTGTAGTTCTTCTCTGCAGGGCAGTCCAGGGGTGGGTGGGGGGGAGAAGGGAGACAGGATGGACACCTCCTGTAACACCACCCTGCTGGCCAAAATGGGGTATGGGGAGCCTCACATGCCCCCCACACCTTTTGGCTACCAGAGGCACCGCGGGCTGGTCCTTTGCTATTTCAAGGCTGGCCCGCAGGCCAGATTTAAGCACCCCACATGCTGAATCTGGCCAGTGGGCCTTGAGTTTGACACCCCTGCTCTAGGCATTTTGGGGGGCTGTAGTTTGAATAGATTTTGTAGGCACCTGGCTGAGGAAGACTGCTTCGTATCAAAACATTCCATTCCATACCTTGCATGAATATACGGCTCCAATGTCGATTTTATATGGACACAATTTTTGGATTTCTTTTTCCAGTTCCTGTGGGGTGTTGAAAGACTGATACCGCACATAGATATCATCACGGAGTGTGAATGAGAACTCCCGTCGCTGAAAATAGTTCTTTGATACTAGAAAAGGAAAACACACAATCCCATCTTGGTTTCATGGCAGAACATAAGAGTATTTCCTCACATCTCATTTCTTCCATCAATCCATGAGATGGTCAGTCATTAAGTATTAGATCATCTACATCAAACTTCCCTTAGAGGGTTGTCTCAGGCAATGCATATGATGCAAAAGGAAAGCTCTGAAAAATGCTAATTATCTATTATCCCAGGCCAGTCCTTTGATATGGACCAAATCAGGAAACAGACTCAATGGGAATTCTAGAACTCTATGTTATTGATACACCCATAGGCTATAAAAACAGAATCTTGTTTATACTAAAGTCAAGTAGGATAAGCTTATGTCTCAGGCTTTTTTATTGTTCAGACCAAACCCCATTTTGCTAATAGATTCTGTATACTTCCATTCTCTATATCCTGGTTGGTAATGATAAAGAACGCAAACTGTAAGAGGTGCAGAGGATCATACCTATTATTTGCACTAAGCTGATAGACCAGATCATTTGGGTACCTCTTTCACAGTTGCTCCCAAACCAACTTTATAATTCCTCAGAATTACCAAAATCCTTGTAAAATGTTTTATAGCTGCTAACCAACGTTGCTTCCCTGCCCCACATTTGATTCTTTTGTAGCATATGTTCTAAAATATTTTTTTCTTAAATACCATCTCTAAAATCCAGTTCAAACGAGGTCCCTTTCTACGTGGTTGTGTAACGGACCTGGTACTCAAAAAGATAACAGTGCCTCCAAATTATGGAGGATGCTTTGTTCCTGCTTCATGAGTCAGTTTAAGTGGTTTTGAAAAAAAGCCCCCAACACATCTTTGTATCAGTGAGTACATCCACCCAGTTAGACAGTGCAAAGAAATCTGGCCGGCACTTGTTGCGAATCGTCCTCATGTTGATGCGCCAACATCAATTCCCATGGCCCTGTCCTTACCTTAAAACTCCACAAAAAATGTATTGACTTCCCTTAACCCATTTAAACCTCAACCTCAAAAAGTTCCTCCCTTCAAATCTTACAGAAATGGAGTGTTCAGCAGCCGAATTTTGCACATGCTCAGAGTCACGCACGTTTCAACTGGTTGAGCAGTTTCCTGCGGACTTCCATGGCCCTCCCACCAGGTCCCGAAACGCCTCGACCTTTCCTCACCATCGCCGTAGCGAAGCCACCGGCCGTAAAGGCCGAAGGGGAAGAGGCGGCGGTAATAAAGGCGCAGCAAGTCAGGCAAAGAACCGGGATCGAAGCTTGCCATGATCACGGCAAAACAGAAGAGCGCGGGAGAAATTAGGCACCACCCCTTTGCCGCTTTAGAGCCAATCCGAACAGCGGATGCCCGTCCGATGGGACGTCTTGGTGCTTTCTGGGAATTGTAGTTCCAGAACAAAAAACAATCAAACGGAAGGCGCTTGCTGGTTCTAAAGTGGCCTCTGACGACCTCCAGTGGTTTCTTCCTACCCCCCCCCCCGCCCCCCAATCCCGGTCTCATCTACTTCAGCGAATAGTCAGATTTGCAGTCTGTGAAGGAGCCTTCACAATAGAAGCGTAATTTGCTGTCTCCTTCAGACCAGTGTTTCTCAATCTTAGCAAATTTGTTAAAGTTTGGTGATAGGTGGATTTTTGCTGGTAGCAAGAACATCCATCCATTGTACTTCTTAAGCTTTTCTAATATAGAGAAAATCACTGGGGTTTTTAAAAAGGATTTTTGCTGTATCTTATGGGCATTTGCACCTAATCTCACAAACATATTATGATAACAGCCTTTTTGTCTGCTTTGTCCCCATGACATGGTTTTAATTTCATTCCCAGCCCATGAGTGATGCAGGCGGAACTCATGTATACTTGGATATTTTGACAAGGACAATTGTTTTTGTATGTGGTAACTGCATCAAAACTACTACTTTCTTTCTCTTTCTTTTCTTTCTTTCTTTCTTTCTGGCGTATGTAGCCAACACAGCTTCCTTCTCCTATTTTTCCCAATATAATAACCTCTCAGTTGGACTGAGAGATGGTGACTGGTCCAAAGTCACCTAGCTGGCTTTCGCAACTAAGGTAGGACTAGAACTCATGATCTTCAGCTTTCTAGCCTGGTGCGTTAACCACTTTCCCAAACTGCAGACTGGCAAACATGCACAAAGAAAGACTCTGAAATACCCATGCTGGAGGAATAGTTGGTAAAGATGACAGAATTTGTAGAGAGGGCATAATTTATTTGTGTGATTAGGGAAAGGTCATTTTTAAATGACTGAAACACTTTATGGACTTTTTGCTGAAAACGTCTTCGTAAATGCTGTGAAGAAGATTGGAAGCCACTCCTTTATATCTTTTTTCTTTCATGCCTTTTTTCATTGTTTTTCTATTAATCACCATTTCTTTACTTTCTTTTTTTAATCTGTATTGCTTTTACTTTGTAAAAAAACCTGCAATAAAAATAATTTTTTAAAAAATGTTAGTTATTTTTATGACATGTAGATCAGGCGACTGTGTCAATGAGATTATTTTAATTTTAGTGTTGAATGTAAATTGTGTTGGTCAGTGACCAAAATAAATGATGATGGTGACTACTAAATGACAGATACCTGTTAAAGTAATCTTCTTCTTTTTCTTCAGCGTTTGTCTCGCGCTCGGGCGAGGTCCGCTAATGTCCTTGAGTACTGCTTCCACACCTCTCTGTCTGCCACGTGTGTCGGGTCTGCCTTCGCGATCTCTAGATCGGCCTTGATCGTGTCCATCCAGCGTTGTTTAGGTCTACCACGCGGTCTCGCTCCTCCGACAGTCACCTTCATTACAGATTTGATGATGGATTCTTCCTTGGCGCGGCTCACGTGGCTGAACCATCGTAGCCGGGACTGCCTCATGACCGTGGGGATGGGCACAACGTTGAACCGTCTACGCACTTCTTCGTTCCTGACGCGATCGAGTAG